CCTTGATCAGACCAAGTTTTTTTGATCTTTTTCTGAGGCAATTTCTTGGGCCTAAGTGTTTAAGATTTTTGGTAAAGTCAGTAGGTACAAGTGGGAATTCAAAAAGTGGCTTATAACTTTTTAAAAGCAGCCTATTTGGCAGCTGCATCAGCCAAATGATTCCCTTTTGTTCCTTGGTGTTCCATTGAAAGGCTAGAATTTTGATAATGGCTAAAGACTTATGGCTTGGAACCATCAGATGCTCTACAAGGACCTAAGAACTATTTTCAATCTGTTGTCCAATAGAGGTTCAAACACTCTTTGTTTCCAGAACATACCAAAATCATGTGCTACAGTGACTGTTGGTGTAAATATTAATGGTTTGTCCTTCTGCCAAAAGGCAGGCTCTGGTTAAGACAAATAATTCAGCTTGTTGAGCTGAGAGGGCTACAGTGATAGGTCCTGCTTCAGTGTTTTCTGTTAAGGAGACAACCACATAGCCAGCTTGATAGTTTTTTGTTTTATCTTTAAGAACCACTGGTAGACCAGACTAAGTCTGCATTTTCAAGTGGTATGAGAAGTCTGTTAGATACAGTCATGAGGAGTTTCATCAGAGGGTAAAGGCAGCAGGATAGCAGGATTTAAGGAATTACAGCATGTGACAGTAACATCTGGGGGTGATAGAGATGAAGTTCATAAGAGTTTGATCTGCTAGAGGATAAAGGTTGAGTATGAAGAGAATTGAGAGGGGTTTCTACAGAATGAGGAACATAGTCAATGGGGAACCCATGGTGATTTCTTCTCTATTCTCAAGTAATTTAGCACTTACAGCTATGGCTCTCATGCAGGGTGGCAGTTCATTGGCTATAGGAGCCAATGATTGGCTATAATAGCCAATAGGCCTGTGTTCATCCCCACGTCACTGGGTTAGGATAGCAAGGGCATTGGGTTGGTCAGACTTGAGGGAATAAAGTAATTAAGCCAGGGCTGAAAAGTTGGGTTTCCAATTTCTATAGTATTCCACTAAGCCCCCAAGTCCTTGTAGTTGGTTTTTGGTTTTTGGAGGTTGGAAGGACAATATTCCCTGGACTCCATCTGGGTCAAGGAGCAATACTCGATTTGAAATGAGATGTCCCAAGTACTTAACCTGGGGGGAACAAAATTGTAATTAATCTTATGTCCCCCCGTTTTAACGATTTTATTTGAGAGAGAGAACACATGAAGGGGGGGAGGGACAGAGGGACAAGCAGACTCCCTGCTGAAAAGGGAGCCCAACATAGGGCATCTTATGTTCCTTTTAGTGAATGGCTTTAGAAGGTGAAGGTTGTATTTAATACAGGCCTCTTGGGAAGGAGAACAAAAGAGGAGGCCACCCACACAGTATAACAGAGGAGAGAATTCTATGAAATGTCTACTTTTGGCATTTGAGAAAAATAAGTGAGGCTTTCAGTATCAACAGGTATGCTAAAGAAGGCACTGCAAATGTCTAGAATAGTAGAGGTATTGCTATTAGGGGAATGGCTATGAGCAAGTTGTGAGGGTTGGGTACTACAGGGTGCTGAGGAATAATAATATGGATTGCCTTGAGGTCCTGTGCAAACTTCCATCCTCTCCCATGTGGTTTATAGACTGGATAGGGACATTACAGCAACTAGTACAGGGAACAAGTAAATCTTCTTGTTAATAATCCTAATGATAGGTTAAATTGATTGGTGCTGGTAATAGCTACAGTTACTCTAATCTGTATGATGGTTTGCTAGAGCTAGTATTAAGTGGGAAGTCCATTTACAACCATTTAAACATGCAGGAGATACCTTGACTTTTAGCTAAGAAATTGAGACAAAAGATGAGTAGTCCACTTCCTCGATGTCCTCCTGGCTCCATTTCTGATAACCCTCTTAGTGATGCTTATTCCGTGTTTTCTCTATTATCACAATGATAGTTAATCACACTATTGTTCCAGGCAAGGGGAGGTAAAAAGGATAAAGTCCAAATTTAGTTAAGATATACCTTTTGTTAAAAAAACAAAATTCAAGTGAGTAAATGTGAAGATCTACTTGACTTATTGGTGAATTAGTGATTCATGAATCAGGCAGCATCCCACCCAGCAAGTAGAGAGATGCTCCGAGGAGTTAAAGGGAAGGTTTTTACAGGAAGAACGGTGGGGCAAGGAAGTTAATAGCAGAAGAAAGAATTGTTTCAGTCCAGGATATCCCTCCACTCCCACCCCAGGGGTGAAGGGATGAACAGATTTTTTTTTAAATCATGATTACCTCACTACTGCTCATCAGTAAATTTCCGATTGACTTTTAAAAGGTCATCTCTGTGGAGTAGGTTGAAACTGTAATTAAGTCTTGTTTTGTTGATGTGAGGAACAAAGGACTCCATTTTGGACTTATTTAATACTTTATAGGAGTTGGTACCCAGGAGAGACCATTTAGCCAACCTGGAGCTGAAGTCCAGCTGCCGGCACAAAAGTCTTGTGTTGCTAGAGCACGTTGCTAGGGAACAAGGGCACTGATGTCGATGGGCCAGATAATTTTTGCAGGGATACTGCATGGCTTTCGCCATTGCCAGTGAAAGAGTAATCTTAACCATAGGAGAAGCTAATTGCCCCTAGGTCTTCTTTTTTTTTTTTTAAGATTTTATTTATTTATTTGAGAGAGAGAATGAGATAGAGAGAGCATGAGAGTGGGGAGGGGCAGAGGGAGAAGCAGACTCCCCGCCGAGCAGGGAGCCCGATGCGGGACTCGATCCCAGGACTCCAGGATCATGACCTGAGCCGAAGGCAGTCGCTTAACCAACTGAGCCACCCAGGTACCAGCCCCTAGGTCTTTAAGCGTCACTTGAGATCAGCAAAATGTAGCCTTGCCCAAACCAAACACTCTCAAGATAGTCCTCACAGACTGTCAGTATTTATAACCTAATGTCCCCTTATCATAGTTGTTTCACTTCTTTGTATGTTTTGATTGATAAGCCTATGGCCAGGGCCCTCAGCCACTGAGCTATTAAGTTGTTATGGGTGAGAACAGATGAATGATATCCTGACACAGTGTACTTCATTCTTATATCAAAACAACTTCTGAAAAAAAAAAAATTGGGGGCGCCTGGGTGGCTCAGTTGGTTAAGCGACTGCCTTCGGCTCAGGTCATGATCCTGGAGTCCCGGGATCGAGTCCCGCATCGGGCTCCCTGCTCAGCGGGGAGTCTGCTTCTCCCTCTGCCCCTCCCCCCTCTCATGTGCTCGCTCTCATTCTCTCTCTCTGAAATAAATAAATAAAATCTTAAAAAAAAAATTAAAAAAATAAAAAGATTAAAAAAAAAATTTGTCTTTGTTATAAATGGACTTGAAATCACATCAAACTAATACGCAACAAAGGTAAAAGCTGAAGGAATCTGGATTGCCTTGCCAAGAGGGGCCAGGCAGGCTGGCCAGGGTAGCCTTGATTCCTGGTAAACCCAGGACTCCAGCGGGCAACCAGCCTAAAATGGGGACTGACTGTTGCCAGTTTAGAAATCATTGCCTCCTCCGAAAGATTTACAGGGGGTGGCTTTCTTCACCCTGGAGGCTGTGCTTATGGCTAGGAACCAGTCCCAGTACCACAGGTCTAGAGGGCCTCAGCCTCCCAATGCCAGCTTTTTTTTTTTCCCTCCTGTTAATCTGTTCAGTGTTAATTTAATTCTCAGGTCAGCTAGAAGAACCTTGAAGGATAAATTAAAATTTTTCCTGCCCAAGCCATGACAAGATGTGTACTGAGCATGCGTGGGTAGCTCAGTTCAGGGTACACAGGGAACTCGAACAGGGCAGGGTCCTGAAAGGCTAGGTCATTGGAAAGGGCTGTTGGGGGTACAAAGTATCTGCCTAATTCCAAGGCCTAACCTACACAACTGTGCATATTCTCCCTGAAGGAAGACCTGCAGGAAACTGGACCACATTGTCAGGTTGGGGCCTGGAAGACTGATAGGGGATCCTCCAAAAAGAGACAACTGGAAGGCTTGATTACTGGTCCTATTCTGGCAAGACAGTCTAGTTTCCTCCAGCATGACTTCGGGGGAAATATGTACTTTTGTTTACACTGGGGCTTGGAAGGAGGCCGATGCCGTGGACCCCCAAGAGCTCACTCTTGAGACCTGGATTCTCTCAACATAGTCCAGTTCTAGGTCATTTGCTTCTCTGACCTGTGTGGTGAGAGCATGTGCAGTGTGCACCCTATCAGCCAGGTGTGGGTGGTCAGGGCTCTCCAGAGCTGTGGAGCTGAGGCTGATCCCCAACCACCTACATAGCCTCCAGGATGGAGGAATCCCACCCTTGAAAATCTTTCTGAGGCAGCAGCTTTTAAAAGGTGACAGTGCCCATTTGGCCTGGCTGCCTGATGGGGTCCTAGTGTAGGGGATCAGTGTAGGGGATCAGGGCCACCCAAAATGTTCTGCAATGGCATATTAATTACTTTGAATTAAAGTTGCTTAAAAAATGTCTGGTGCAGGAGGAACACACTGAACCTCCTTTGTCTCCAGAAAACAGTGAATAAATCTCCCATGTGAAAGTTACCCTCTTGTACCAAGAGATAGACATCCATAAAGTCAGAGACAAGGAATTCTGAGCCGAAAACCTTGTTACTTTTACTAACTTACTATCCCAGCCCAAATTCTGTTTATAATTCTGTACTAATTGAAGTTCCATATATAAAAGCTGCATGCATTGGTCATTTCTTTGGGTCTCGATTTTAATGCTGGGTTTTTGTGCATACATAATTAAACTTTTTTTCCTCCTATTAATCTGTCCATGTTAATTTAATTCTCAGGCCAGCTAAAAGGACCTTGAAGGATAAATGAAAATTTTTCCTGCCCAACAGATGGCATAGTCGCACGATAAACTATAACTAGCTGGACGCTGCTGCAGCTGAGAAATCCTGAGACATTGACAACCACATCAACCCCCAGCTCTGCCTGTAGGGTCTAATCTGTGTGAGAATATGAAAATTCTTTTTCTGTCTCTTTGCAATTTAGATTAGCAGGAGAAAATATTTGTGGAACTACTTTCTTGAGCTTAGTGACTCTGGAAAATTTGGCAGCATACTCTTGGTTTGACAGATTTCATTTCCTCCCAGAGATGGTCACCGTTTATCTTTCTCTCTCTTTTGGCATTTGTAATAAAAAGGAATTACCATAGGACATAATGCAGGACTTTTTTAAGCCTGCTGTTCAAGTGAGCCTCACAGACTGTTGATTTCATAGTTCTCCTCAGACTGACACCTGCTTGGACAAACTTTGCTGTAGGTCCCCTATGTAAGATCCAAATAAGGTTTTTTCTTTTCATCTTATTCTATGTTCTAAGAGCTTGGTTTTATGATCAGTGAGAATATTCTCTCTGGTCTCTGCCATCCAGAGGGTGCACTTACCTGGGTGCTCCTTGGTGGCCAAGTAGAGTGGGGTTCCAAGATCCACAGGTACGAGTAGCATTCTCCTTGTCCAGCTGTGGCAGATCTCAGGGGAGGCTGTCATAACAAAAGCCCCTTATGGGCTGGGACCTTGTATCTTAACCACTGTTGCTTGTTTGTTAGTACTGGAAAATTCCCATTCCAGTAGCACCTGCCTGGTGACACAGATTAGCAGGGCTGAGACTGGAGGCATCTCATGTTTTCCTGGGAGACCAGAGACTTGTTTTCACTATACCATCCTTATCACCTGTGGAACAAAGATTTTTGCTTTCTTAGGCTATTTTTGGGAGTACACTTTTGGATCATGGGGGGCTGTATCATCTATGCCCTCTCCAGGGATGCTTCTTGTGTCCAAGGTCTAAACTTGGAAAGTTGTCCCCAGTTTTTCCATAAAAAGGCTTATTGGTTTGAGTCATTATTAAGTTTAAGAAGATCCTAATCATCAGTTGCCAGATAATGGATCCTTTAAGTGTGCTATGTTTGAAAGAAAAAAATTCTTTGTAAGGGGTTCTCAATTGTCTTATTAGTATAACAGCTAGCCTTAGGGACTTTGAGAAGAGGAAAGAACAGATACTACACTTAAGACAAAAAGTAATGTCCACATTCAAGCTAAATTCCCCTTATCAAAATCTGGCCCCATCTGCCTGTTTTAACTTCCCTTTCCCTACACAATTTACAGAAAGAACTCTGGCCTAATTTCTTGGTTCAAAGTATACAGGTCACTAATATAAATGTTGAAAGCTAGGAAATGAATTTAACACAAGCTCCCAAAACTAGCATTAAGGTTTACTTTACTTCTGCTTTATAGGACTTTATAATCAGGCTCTGCCAGCTTTAGGCATTCTTATACAATGTCCTTTGCAGATGTATTCTAGATCCTCCTCCACCACCACAAAAAAAAAAAAAAAAAAAAAAAATTGTTTCCTGAACAGCAACATATCTTTCAAATTATAAAGCCCTTTTATCTCCCCTTTCACAAGATCCTACCAAATTTAGAGAGGAATTAGAAAGATTAATAGCCATTTACAACACCCCTCTCACAGAAAAAAACAGATGAGCAAAATTTCTACTAGGCCCTCCTACTGATCAACAGAAGGCCACTGTTCAGGGACTAATGGAAGCCAGCATTGAATCATGTACTCAGAAGGCCTTTGTTAAAATGCTTAATAAAGTTCTATCAGGGACTTTCTTAAAGTCTTTAATTTAAAAAGCAGTTCAGCCCCTTAATATTCAGGCTGTAACTCAGTTCTTCTATGGAATTAAAAACAATAGTCTTTGTCTTGCAAATCTCTACAAAACCAGAAATGCAACTTTACAAATTAAAGCCCATCTAGCTTTACTAATCCCTAAACCTCACTTTTTCCTCTCAAAATGCTTACAGATAGTACAAAAGATCAGAATATTTGCCTTTTTAAAGTACAGGACAATTTTGTTCCAGTAACAATTACCCCAAAACTCTTAGAGATAAAAACTTGTATTTTTTCTCTGTCCCTTAAAGTTATGAAGCATATTGTCTTTGAAATGTAAACACAGCCTATAATCACCTGAGACTGAAGGGGAAAAAAAGGAGGGAAGAGGCCTTTTTAAGACACAAACTACTGAAAGAGCTCTTGTGGCCAAACTCTAGCACAACCCCCTTAAGATTACGTTCAGGGACAAATATAAAGTCTTCTCTAAAAATAGTAAAAGACTTTAGCTATGTAAGGCAAGTAAACTTAATTTCTTCCAACTATTATGTATGAACTAGTGAGTTTTATATTGTTTTAAAAAGAAACTATAAGAACTCTGTGTTTGTCTATATGTATATAAATGTATGTATAGTATACATCTAGTATTTTTCTACTTCTGGATGGTACTGTCAAAATTAATTTGTAAAAAAGCTCTTCCATTGGCTCAAAGAAAATTAAGAGCTTATAAAAATTAAATGTTCATAAAATTCTCAAACAGAAACTTAATCCAAATGAACTTCAGGTTCATGTGATCTGGGAAAATATTCAACATTAAAGCTATTTTAAGGTTGTTGGTTTAATAAAATACACATGCCTTTATAGTTATCAGCAATAGAAACTTTTATCCTGCCTACCGTTCCTGAAAGTAAAGTAAGTTCATGTTATATCTAGATTTAAAAATTTCAACAATAAAAAATAACTTAGGAGAATGACTGGGTTTGTCTGATATCATGGAGTTTTTCTGGGTAATCTAAACATAATTGTTAAGAAGTAAATTGAAAAGGTAAAAATAAAAATGTTTTAGGTAAACTTTTTTTTTTTTAATTAGGTAAACTTTTCAAAGTTTCCCCAAACCTTTTTTTTTTATTTTTATTTTAGTTTTTTTTTCTTATGTTAGTCACCATATAGTACTTCATTAGTTTTTGATGTAGTGTTCCATGATTCATTGTTTGCATATAACACCCAGTGCCCAAAACTTTTTTTTAAAGATTTATTTACTTTTAGAGAGAGCATGAGGGAGAGAGAATCTCAAGCAGACTCCACACTGAGTGCTGAGCCTGTTGCAGGGCTCCATCTCATGACCATGAGATCACAACCTGAGCTGAAACCAAGAGTCAGATTCTTAACCAATTGAACCACCAGGTGCCCCCTGCAAACCTTTTTGATAATCTAAAACTTTAAAGTTTTGCTAGGTTAAGAGATGAGTTGTTAAATACATTGAATATCTAGATTGTTTCCAAATAAGATAAACCTATGTCTAGAAATTAATGTTTCATTATTTTTTTCTCCATGTCAAAGGAGTTTGTGAGCCCAATAGTTTATGGTCCTTCTCCACCTTGATAGTATCCACAGGATCAAGGTCCGGATGCCCTTACCAGCCTACCATCTCAATGAGCCCCAGGCCCCTAGCCAACACCAGCCCTAGCCATCCCACCAGGGCAGCCCAGCACAGTGCATACCAGGACACCTGGGGCAGTGCTAACCACAGCTCCAGCCATCACACTGAGGTGACACAGGCACAAAGCAACCCCTAACACTCCAGGCCCATACCACTTAGGCTCCAGATAGCCATGAGGGCACTGCCAGTGCAGAGTTCTCTGGGACCTCCTGGATCATGCCTGCTTCAGCTCCAGCCACCCAACTGGGGTGCCCCCAGGCAGAGTGCCCTGGGATGTGCTGGCCCATGCTGGTTTTGGCTCCAGTCACCCTACCAAGATAGCCCCTGCCCTGAGAGCCCAGTGGCATATCAGCCTAGGCCCATTTCATATAGCTGTTCTGCCAGTGTGCCAACTGTGTGGAACAACCCAGAATCCCTCCAGCCATCCTACCAGGGAAGGCCCAGTATGGAGTGCCCCCCTGAACTCCAGCTCATATCAACCCCAGCTCCAGCCAGCCAAAGTCACCAGACACACACAGTCTTCACAGGGGGCAACCATACATAAGACTATTTCTTCATGTTTCGGAGAAGTAGTTGTTCCACTGAATTCACAGAAACAAAGAAAGTCAAGCAACATGGGAAGACACAGGAATAGCTCCCAACAAAAAGAAAAAGAAAAAGAAAAAAAACTCAGAAAAAGAACTAAATAAAACAGAGATAAGAAATAATATGATAAAGATGCTCACTGGACTACAGAGAAGAGTGGAAGAAGTTCAACAAAAACATAGAAAAATATAAAAAAGAACCAATAAGAGATAAAGAATACAGTAACTGAAATGAAAAGTGCAATAGAGGGAAGCAAGGGTAGATTAACAGATGCAAAAGAACAGTTCAAATCTGGAAGACAGGATAATGGAAAGCATCCAAGCTGAACAGTGAAACAAAAAAAAAATTTTTTTTAATTTTTATTTTCATTTTTTTTAAAGATTTTATTTATTTATTTGATAGAGAGACACAGTGAGAGAGGGAACACAAGCAGGGGGAGTAGGAGAGGGAGAAGAAGGCTTCCCGCAGAGCAGGGAGCCCGACGTGGGCCTCGATCCCAGGACCCTGGGATCATGACCTGAGCCGAAGGCAGATGCTTAACGACTGAGCCACCCAGGTGCTCCTTGCCATTGTCATTTTTAAGACTTCTGTCATTTAGTTATTGTTTTACTGATACTTTTTGCAAAAGTGTTTCATCTTCAAGGAGATTCAGGGAAAAGACTCTGACAAGTACTGCAGAATAAAGCTAATAACTTCAACATCATACCATTGAACTGGGTAAGAATTTATAGAAGTCTACTGGAGAAACTGATAGCCTCATAAAAGTACTTTAAAAAAGATTAACATCATTTGGTTAAGCGTCTGCCTTTGGCTCAGGTCATGGTCCTAGGGTCCTGGGATCAAGTCCCGCATCGGGCTCCTTGCTCAGCGGGAAGCCTGTTTCTCCCTCTGCCTCTGCTGACTGCTCCCCCTGCTTGTGCACGCTCTCTCTCTCTCTCTCTGACAAATAAATAAAATCTTAAAAAAAAAAGATTAACATCAACAAGTATTAATTACATGGGGCTGAATAAACTAAGGAAGAGGATTGTAATTATCATGACTTTTTGTTTGATATATTGCTGGCTCCTTAAATTTTATTTTCCAGATATAAGACCTTTCCTCTTAAAAAAAACTATGACTTACAGCAATTTGATAAGTTATACCTTTGTAAACAGAATTGAAATATTCATCTTTTTCTTCCTACCTGATCCCTCCAGAATTAGAAACTCTCAGTGAGTATTCTTATGTTTTCATGGCAATAGATTTATTTGCAGAAGTTCAGTCAGAATCTGTTCTCCTCATACCAGGACACCATTGCAAACATTGCTATATTACCAAGGCTTTGACTAGAAGGTCATATTTGAGAGAAAAATGCATAGACTCAGATATGAACAGACACCTTTAAGGAACTAAGATTAACTTTATAGAGGCAATAAAAAGCCTCTTGGAAATCAGCCTGATACCTTGCTTACAACGTTCCTAGCAGCCTTACCAGGCAGGCAGATTACTTCCTGGCAGGTGCAAGAACCTCAGGGTGTTTTTAGGACCTCAAGAAGAGATAAAGTAACCCAGATCTATAGGTATCGCAGGTGAAGTCTGATAGCAAGTACCTGGCTTGGCTTCTTATCCTCAAGAGGCTATTGGAATTCAATCTGGGGACTTCTGAGATTCAAGATGGTGATGTAGGAAGATTGTGAACTCACATCCTCTATGGAACACACCAAATTACACCTATTAATAGAACAATTTCTCCTGAAGAACGGAGGGCTGACTGTACAGCTGATGAACAACCAAAGACTGAGAGAACAGCTAGAGAGACAGAGACATAGTAACAAA